ATTACAAATAACTTCATTTCTGGACATTTATGGTTTGATTTCTTTGTATGTATGGATCACTTGGTTTGTTACTGACATCTGGTGAAAATTTCATGTCATTAGCACCTCTAGTAATATATTTACTGAGAAAAATGGTGACGTGTTCATTACTTATTTTACCCGCTGTATTTCATTTGTCTCATTTCACCCTGCTGGACTAATACCTCACAAAGACCAGGGAATGCTCAGGAGACTTGTTACTAACTGTTCCCTCTTCTTTCCCTTGTGCTGCTAAAAGAGGCAATCAAGTGTTTAAACGCTGCCATCGATATTTACACAGACATGGTAAGACCTGGAATGTGTTCATCAGTGTGGTGATACTCAGTCATAAAGAAACTCGTATCATTTTTCATATCTGACAGTCTGGTTGTGTTTATGAAATTAAATATTGCTGAACTTCACATTATTACTTTTCCACTTGGGAAAACGAATCACATCAGAATTCACAATCAAAGATTATTAAAGCGAAGACCTTGTAGCTCCACATCTACGCTACTCTTGAGTTCAGCACGGAAAACGACACCTTCCTCGACCCCGAGAGGTGACCGTCAGTAATGATTTCTGCTCTCCTCTTCCTCCTCCAGGGCAGATTTACCATCGCTGCCAAACACCACATCAGTATCGCAGAGATCTATGAGTCGGAGCTGGTGGATATCGAAAAGGTACTACTGTCTGAGGCTGTGTAGTCATAAAATAAAATTATTACATCAGCCATCAGATGTTTTTGTTAAAAAATTAAAAGAAAAAACATGTTAGATAAAAATATTTGTTTGTCTCTGAATAGGCCATTGCACATTATGAACAAGCAGCAGACTACTACAAAGGAGAGGAGTCAAACAGGTACTGTTTTAAAATTATTATTATTATTATTTATTGTTTGGATATAAAAAATCACTAAAACCAGTCCATCTGAACAACTACAGAAAAAAAATACAGAAATAAAATAATACACAATCTTAAAATTCCTGTCAGTGTCAAAAAGACAAGACATAGACTGAAAAAAAGTATAGGTCGAAGCCTAAGCTTTTTATACCTTCACTTTTTATTCATACATTATCAAAATCAAATCAACGTCTTTCTTATAGATTTTATAAAATAAAAATCAAGACACAACCTGCAGTGTACATTAGTTCAGTTAAAGTCTAACACTTTATATTTTACAAGAAACATTGAACTTATTAAATAGTTTATTTAAGCAATGACTAGGTTTTAAGATTTTGTTACTTTCAAACACGTTCCTTCCCTGTGTTTTTTAAATGGGACCTATCATGCAAAATTCTTTGTTTTAGACAATACATGCATTTTGTTGTGTACTTGGAGTCTCKAGGAGTGCAGAAAAGTTGAATTTAGTTTCTCCTGGTGTTTCAAAGATAACTTTGTATTCTGTTTGGGTCATATTTTTCAACCCGTTCAGTTTATTCTATTTTCTGTGACGTTTTCACGACTACAATTTCATCGTCTTCATTCTCCTCAGACTCTGGCTCCAACATGTAAAGCTGGATGGACAAGTCTGTTGTCTGCCCCGCTATAGTCGTAAACCCCTCTATCAAGTACAATGAACCAGTCTGGAAGCTGGAGGAGGGCAGGGTGTGAAGTGCTTCATTTTCATTGGATTTAAAGAGACAGCCTCAAAATGAGTTTAACTGAGACACACCTCAAAGAAGTGGTAAAAAAGGGGCTTGTGTTTTTGTAAGGAGGAATTCAGACCAGAGGGAGGACCGGTGATAATTTGCTGACGGACAGGCCCATGATTACACACAGATAGGGGCAAAAACATTATCTCCTGCTTTTGATAGCGGCTGATAGAAACTTGGCTCGGTAGAAACGTTGCTGAGCTAAAGTTGTTCACGGAAAACTTTTGTCACATTTTCACCTGAGCCAGCAGGGACAGAACAATGCTGAGTTAAAGGGGACCTATTATGCAAAATTCACTTTTTAAAGGTTTTTAACTCAACTTTGGGTATGTACTTCTTAAAAAAAACAGTCCTAGGACCAAAAAATGCACCCTGGGGCATATTTACTGTAAGTAAATGTATTTTTAATGTATATTAACGACAAGTTTTATACTTCCGTCATTTTGTGATGTCACAAGCTGTACGACAACCCACCGGAACCTGCGTTCAGCCCCTCACCTAGCAACCCCCGGGTGAGACTCCTCCTCGGTATAAAGAGCCGTCACGGATGTTGTTGTGTAATGCACAGCTCATTTCACAACAGGTCTCCAATGGGTAGAGTGTTGGACCAGAGAGTGAGAGACCAGGAATCGAGACCAGCGTAGACACAATTTAATTATTTATTTATTTTCATTCGTTATGAACATGTTTTCTCATGTACCTCTATTGTTTAGCTTATTAAAGCCTTGTTAAAGCCTATTTGTTGGAGTTTCTGAGGTATTTTGACCGCTGCTGCTCCCTGCTCTGGTAACAGCATGCAGAGTGAGCGCAGAGCAGAGGAAGGGGAGAAAACAAAAAGAAGCTGCGACCACAACTCTGCCTCTGGGTCTCTTATGGTTGTACAACGGAGCTTCKGCTATTATTAGCCATGCTAACGTAAACGCTGGCTTTGGAGGGCGGAGTTAATGTCAACAGATTTTTGGAGGGCGTTACCAACAGAGCTCATTAACATAAACAGCTCTTCTGAATGGAAGTTAGAGCAGGCAGAACTAGAAAATGGGAAATTTTATWATCTGAGAATTATTTTGTACATTAAATTGAATGAACATGGTCTGGATAGCCCACAGACATACCATAAAAATTTTCTAGGACCCATAATTGGTCTCCTTTAAATGTAAAAAACTGACAAACACAAACAGGCAGGGTCCTGTATCCAACACGGACAGAAATAATGCATTCGTTGCAGCTTTTCRTAACGTTCATTGTTCTGCATATCAGCATTGAATCAGAGTACACAGTATGTTTTGTTGTCTATACAAGAATGAGGTCAGTCATTCTTTATGTGCCTCAGCAGATAAAGAAGCTTAAAGCTTTTTGTCAGGATTAGAAAACCATTATTGAAAGCACAGTAAGTGCATTCAGCTATGAATATGTGACTTTATATAAAAAAAACTGCACTGTTTTTGTCCTCTTCTATTACATAGACTTTGACTAAGGTCTACGCTCTTTCTCCTAGTTCTGCCAACAAGTGTCTGCTGAAAGTGGGAGCTTACTGCGCTCAGCTGGAACAGTACCAGAAGGCCATCGAGATCTACGAGCAGGTGCGTATTTCTGAACAAGTCTAGTGTTTCTGATCTCCGGTGCTTGGGACCAGTTTTGCACGATGTGAACGTTATCCAGGTCGGAGCGAACACGATGGACAACCCGCTGCTGAAATACAGCGCCAAGGAGTACTTCTTCAAAGCCGCCCTCTGTCATTTCATCATCGACGAGCTCAACGCTAAGGTGAGCTGCTACCRTCCGCAGGATGTCGGGCTGGCAGAGACGCGGGAGAGCTTTAACACACCGTGTCTCCACAGATTGCMGTTGAGAAGTACGAAGAGATGTTTCCGGCTTTTTCCGACTCCAGAGAATGCAAGTTGCTGAAGGTAGCTCAAAGTTAAGCTCTGAGGGAATCCCTGTTTCATGTGTTCAGTCTCTGGGAGTAACGTGCTCCTTTTCATTTTTTTTTCTTCYCCTCCAAACAGAAACTTCTCGAGGCTCACGAAGAACAGAACAGTGAAGCGTTCACAGAGGCAGTAAGTCACGTCCTCGCTATACTTGTCGTTCTGTTGTGTTTCTAAGGGTTTCAGGAAAGCCTGAATCATATTTGAGTCTCCAAGGAAAGTGTTTCCTACTTAAAGGAAGTATTCAGTAAAACAAAAAAAAGTATCTGTAACCAAAAGGGAAAAAAACAGCCTTTGTCGTCACTTTTTTTTTGTCTGAATAAGGTAAAGGAGTTCGACTCAATCTCCCGTCTGGACCAGTGGCACACAACCCTCCTGCTGCGCATCAAAAAGACCATCCAGGGTGAGGAGGGGGACCTGAAATGAGAGGACCCACAGACTAGGGAAGCAGCATGAAGGGACAATTCCACCACGCATGTTCTAACACACACACGTCCTTATATAAGACCCGGAGAGGAGCACCTGCTCATGATTTCGGTTTTGCTCACAGCTGTATTGTAAGAACACGTACCTGGTTATTTCTGTGTATCTGACTCTTGTCAGAATGTAAATCCTCTGGCCCTCGCCTCTGATTAGAGGATTGCTGCAAACCTCCTCCTCCTCCTCAGTTCATACCTGAATAACTTTACTGCGGTGTATTGTTTGGAATCTGCCACTAATAACAAGAGCATGTTTTGTAGAATTGTTTCCTAGTCTGACGCAGCTTGTCTTTTTTTTTAGACCTAGTGGAAAATATACATTTAAAATGTTTTTGTTTCTTATTTTAAATACTTGTGGATTGTTAAGTGATGATACTTTACTATTCTGTTTGTAGTAACAGAAAAGGGTCTAATGAATGCTTTTAAACTGAACTATTTATCAAAGTCGCATCTTTTTCACGTGGAATGATTCTTCTTGAATCGTAGAAATGATATGCACAAGTATAGACTGTTAAATATTTGTATCTAAACATGACTGATTTTATTATTTTTATTATTATTATTATAGGCTATGTGGATTTAACATGTTCTTTGAACCTGTAAAGCTGTAGTGTAAAAGAATTGAGAGCACTAACACAAAGCCCCTTATTCCCCATTTGCAGGGCAGTTATGAGGTAAAGTACGTTTTTAGTCGGTCATCTTGTGCTCTAAATGTAGTGCATGTCATTGTGTTAGCCCAAGTTTTTACTAAAAGGTCAGTCATTGTGTGTACTCACCTTCCAGGTATGATCTGTGTGCTTGTTCACATGAACATTAATAAAAGTAATAAATGTGATACTGTTGTGCTGTTGGATGTGTATCAATTATTTTAACCAACCTCTAAAACAAGTTTAGTTAGGGAGGCCATTGCTCTTATCATAACCAAAACAATAAGTCCCTCTCTAACAGCCAGYGTCTGTCCCCAGCTACTCTAAAGGAAAGACTAATGAAGAATGATGAATCAGCCGTAAAGTCACATGAAACTTAACTTTGTGGTCACACCCYTGGAGGCRGTACCTGTTAGAAACATTGTCTTTGTTTATGCAGAAGGGAGGGTCTCATAATGATAAGACCTACTAACTCTGTTAAAAGTATATGGCTGCACAAAGTGTAAACAAGACTGGATCTTAAATTTCCTTCAGTTTAATTAAAAAATATAAAAGCAATGTCTCTATTTTTAACATTACTAGAGCTACCATTAGTAATACTCTTACTATAGGGATATTGTAAGCACATCATTGAATGTACAGCATTAATAGTAAATCTGAGAGTAGAATGAAGGTACTGTATGTTGCTAAAATATAAATAGGAAGAGATCGTTAATAATTGTGATGTTGCTGGAGATGGGGTGGGTTTCAATATGTTTTTACTTCTACCCACTACGTTTATCATAATCAGGAATCATTTTGTTTGTAACTTGTTACGTTCAGTAAACTACAAAAATGGATAAACATCCATACTTGCTGCTTGCATGGGCTATAGGAGGGAAGTTAGCAACATCTAATCAAATATAACATCTCATTAGTTAATGGGACCACCCCTCTCCTGAACCTAAACATGTATGATAAACTGACTGAACCATGTATGAAAAAAAGTTTTATTTGTACACAGGACTACAACCCCTGGCAAAAAGTATGGAATCACCGGTCTTGGATGAGCACTCAGACATTTCATTCTGTAAAACAAACTCAGATCAAAAACATGATACAATAATAAGGTCATTCCAAAGTGCAACTTGTTGGCTTTCAGGAACACTCAAAGAAATGAAGAGAAAACATTGTGGAAGTCAGTGAATGTTACTTTTATTGACCAAGAACAGGGAAAAAAGTATGGAATCACTCAAACTGGAGGTAGAAAATAAGGACGCACCCAGTTCCTTTCCCTAAATGGACACCTGCCTCAGATTAGATCTGCTCGTTAGTCTGCAGTTAAAAACACCTGCAGTCATGACACCTTGGAGGGCTGCTGGATGAAGTGGAGAGGCAAGAACCACGATTCCAACTGTTGCAGCTTGAAGACATCAGTCGACGAATGGAGTAGTTTTTATCCAAACATTTATTTTCTTTTAACTCACATAAAATATAAACTGGCTCCACACACTCACGGTGCTTCTGCTGCGGTCAGAGTCCGGGTGTAAAGTAACGTTCAAGAGACGCCCGTTTCAGAACCTTTCCACATGGTGCATTCAGTGACATCCAGTAAATACCAGTACTCTCAGAAATGAACAATCTAACTAAAACATACACCCAAAATAAAGTGTGGGGTGTCTTTGTACAGTCAAATACACAAAAACAGTAACACAACTAATAATCTCATTTGAACAATGTCTGTATTTCTCACACAACAAATGTCTCTTGAAACAAAAGAGAGGATTGTGAAACTTCTTGAAGAAGGYAACTCTTCACGCATGGTTGCTAAAGATGTGGGCTGTTCACAGTCAGCTGTATCCAAGATATGGACCAAATACAAACAGCATGAATGGTTGTTAAAGCCAAGYRTACTGGTAGACCAAGAAAGACATCAAAGCGTCAAGACAATCAACTTAAGGCCATTTGTCTTGTAAACTGAAAAAGTACAACTAAACAGATGAAGCATAAATGGGAGGAAGCTGGAGCCAACGTATGTGACCAAACTGTAAGAAATCGCCTAAAGGAAATGGGATTTCAATACAGGAAAGCTAAAAGARAACCATCATTGACACCTAAACAAAAAAGAACAAGACTGCAATGGGCTAACGAGAGGCAATCATGGACTGTGGATGACTGGATGAAAGTTATCTTCAGTGATGAGTCAAGAATCTGCATTGAACAAGGTGATGATGCTGGAACTTTTGTTTTGTGCCGTTCCAGTGAGATTTATGAAGAGGACTGCCTGAAGAAAACAACCAAATTTCCACAGTCCTTGATGATATGGGGCTGCATGTCAGGCAAAGGCACTGGGGAGATGACTGTGGTTCATTCTTCTATCAATGCACAAGTTTACATTGACATTTTGGACAGTTTTCTCATCCCTTCAATTGAACACGTTTGGAGGTGATGAAATAATTTTCACTCAAGTCCATGCCTCAGAGACTGCAAGCCGTTATAAAAACCAAAGGTGGTGCAACTAAATACTAGTGATGCATTTTGAATTGTCTTTTGTTTATCTATTTTTGATTCCATACTTTTTTCCTCAGAATTGAGTGATTCCATATTTTTGTCCCTGTGCTTGGTCAATAAAAGTAACATTCACTGACTTCCACAATGTTTTCTCTTCATTTCTTTGAGTCTTCCTGAAAGCCAACAAGTTGCACTTTGGAATGACCTTATTATTGTATCATGTTTTTGATCCGAGTTTGTTTTACAGAATGAAATGTCTGAATGAGTGCTCATCCAAGACTGGTGATTCCATACTTTTTGTCAGGTGTTGTATGTGAGGTACCTTTTGTACTACAGTCAAATACAACACAAAGTACTACAAACAGCTTACAACCTAAATTACTGCCTTTTTTTTAAACAAATATTTTGACATTTGGAAACAAGAACTAAAGCCATGCGTTATTATGAAACGGTCATGACTACATAAAGTGGGGGATGGGGTTCCCAAAATTTAGTAATCAAAGTTTTGATCAGAAATACACTAATGGCAACAATATTTCAAAATTTCATTTGCTGGACAATGAAGACCAATCAGAAGAGACAGAGAATATACTGCAGCAGAAATGTCTTATTGTAACATGCAAGATGTTCTAAATGACAGAAAATACTGTGCTACATTGTAAGAGAAGATAAGCTGCATGTTGCCTCACAATAATTAGGCAACTGTCAATTAGTGACACTTTTTAATATATTACTAAAACAAAATATTATTAAGAAAACATCAATCGGTGTCTTGATCAGTCTGGGTTTTCGGTTCAACTAAAGGATGGTCCGGCATCTCATGCTGTCCATCACTTATTCTTTCCTTCTTCTCCAGYAGTCTTAGTACCAATAACCACAGTCTGTATGTCTGGTGATGAAGTACTGGTGTCAGAGTTAGATTTGTTTTCTGGAGGTGAAGTTAAAGTAGCCTGAGAAGCCTCTGCTTCGAGCACAGATGGTGTCGAGACAGATGAGATGCCTGAGACTGACGCTAACAAGGTATCGGAAACAGGAATTGAGAGAGTGGGCAGAGACAGAGAGCTGGAAGATGCTTCAGAGGACAGAGACACAGGTTGACTCACTGACACTGGTATAGAGAAGGGGACAGGGATAGATGAAGGCTCTAAGGAAATAATGCTCGTTCCGGCGCTGTTAGCAGCTATTATGGGCTGGATCTGCGCCCCTGCTGGAACCTCTGTGTGGATGACGGTGATGCTGCCATGGCTGACCAGAGTGATGGCTCCGTGACTGGTCCAGTCAGACGGCAGAGTGACCGACTCAGTTGGAACCATGGTTGTTTGACATTGGGTAGTACCAGCACCTGTAGTAGGAGTAGGAGCAGGAGCAGAAGCAGAAACAGCCAGAGCAGCACTTGGACTCTCACTAGTTGGGCTATTTTTTTCCACGGGCTCTGCTTTGTCAGCATTTTCCTCAGTGGAAGACCTCGCCTTCTTTCCCTCGATGTTTCCCTCCAGCACCACCAGGTAGGTCTTCCATGGGGCCTCTGCATCATGAACCTGGAGTTTAAACAGGTTGGTGTCACTTTTATCGACTTGGTCAATAATTATCCAACAATAAACACAAAGTAGTATTCATCACTATATCAAAGTCCAATGACATACTCACCCCCTTCTTTTTAAAGGTATTTCTTTTACCACAGTCTAAACTCACCTCATCTGCAGTGTAGAAAATACTAGTGGTGTCCCCAAACAGACACAGATACCAGAATTTTTACAAGTACTTGTACTCGTACAAAGTGCCCAGATACCCAGAACCAATTTCTTAAACATGGAACAGACAGGCTTTACACTTAATGTATTATTTTTATTTTTTAATATTACAACAGAATATATAATGGAGAGCCACCTTGTTCTTAATTTAAGAAATATGTTTCAAGTCATTGTGCTGAAGAAATTTTTTGGGGTTGTTTATTACTGACTTTTTAAAGGCACTACACATTTAATAGTACTTTACTTAGGTGAAACATGATACAGTTTTAGAAACCATTGTGTGAATGTTTGTGATTAAATTAGTGATTTTATGTACAGACTGGTCCGAATGGCTGTCACAGATGGCTACTCAGAGYGGCAGGTACATACTAGAAGTAGCTACTTGCCTGAACACATATTCAACACATAATGACTGAATGTAAAGAAACACTAGCAAAAACAGGAATTATGTCAAGATAATTTGATCCTAGAACATAGGATTTCTCCCCCCAATGATGTCAAACTTGGTAGGTGGGGTCAAATTCTAAAGAAAGTGTTATAAGGAACAGGACTTCCTTGTTCGTGTGCTGAATACACTGAGCAGTCAGTAAACGTGGTTCAGTCCAGCGCTGGTGGTTGTATGACTCACTTTTTTCTCGTTCAAACATTTAACTGGTAACAAACACATATTAAGGTAAACAAACATGTTAAATTATCGCTTATCTTTCAGTGTAATGTTTAAATTCTAACTCAGTAAGTACTCAGTTTGGCGAGTCCCCAAACTGATGTACTCCTACTCAATTTGAGGAAAAAGTGGTATCGGGACACCTCTAGGAAAAAAAAAWAAWAACCTGTTAAATGTTACAGTACTACAGTGAGAAGCACCACTCACCAAAGTGTGCCTGCGGAGGGTGGACATGTCAGTAAACGTGCGCTTACAGAGTGCACACATGTAAGGCTTCTCTCCCGTGTGGATGCGCTGGTGCCTCTGGAGCGCATTGATCTGCGTGAACTGTTTATCACAGTCTTTGCATTTGTAAGGACGCTCACCTAAGCAACACATTTGTTTTAAATGTTAAAAATATTAACAATAACTTAAGCGTGCATTTAAACAAACACACACACAAGAAGAAGAAAGCTCTTACCTGTATGTATTTTTAGATGCTGGTTGAGGGAGTTCCTCTGAGCAAAGCCTCTATCACACTTGTCACACTTGAAAGGTTTGGTGCCAGTGTGGATATTTGAGTGGTGTTTAAGGTATTCTTTAGATGCAAAACTTTTCCCACAGGCTTCACACATGAAAGGTTTCTCTCCTAGAAGAAAAAAAAAGTTTATTACTGGTAGATCAGAAGTCTTCCATGCTTCAACACACCTGACTGAGATGAATGAACCCTTAACAGGCTTCTGATAAACTTCATGACATTTAGAATAGGTAATGAAATCATTTGAATCAGGTGAGCCGAAGCAGGGAAACATGTAAAACATGCAGGATAGTGGGTCACGAATAACAAAGTGTAGTAGTAGAGTAGTGTAGATGATACCAATTTTTTTTCTTTTTGAAATTGTAAGACAGATACAAGATGTGACCAATAAAGCTTTTTCAAGTTCTTGCTAAAAAGAAAAAAAATCTGAAAAATCTTCATTTCGTAAATCTCTCCCCTTTTTTTTTTTTTTTTTTTTTTTTTTTGTTTATACTGCACCAGTTACAGCCTGTGAATCGGGCACAGCTCTGTTGCTGCGTGAAGCGAGCATCGCATTCATCACATGCAAACGGTTTCTCTCCGGTGTGTATCCTGCGGAGAAGTAAACACACATTTAGCTCTCATCCATATTCATGGACGCACTTCATAAACGTGTACAACAAGATATTCTTTGGTGTTCCCACGCAATACGTCTGCGTTACCTTGCAAAACATTTTGCATTCCCACACAAATGTTTTATGTTTTGTATGACCTGAATTAAATCAGGCTTTTATTTTGAAATATCCAGTTACTAAACAGGATGTGTCGCCACAAGTACGGGAAACTGACGGTGATATTTCGTGGCTGCACAGAGATAAAATAGTGGACATTAAAATATCTCCGTGCATGGCTGTGAWACATTTATTCCGAAGCTGAATTAAAGTAGTAGTCCTGTATAATGGTAAGCATGTCAATTTGTTAATAAAACCAGCAGGCGTGACAGTAATAAACAGCTTTTGCGTGGGAATGCAAAAGAAAAAAGCTCCCCCCCTCCCTCGCAGGCTCTGTAGCTGCAGGTCTGGATGACAGAGGAATAAAGATCTGTTTACCTTTGATGTGTCTTGAGGGCAGAGTTTTGGCTGAACCTGGCCGTACACTGGGTGCACTCGTAGGGCTTCATGCCCGTGTGTGTCCTCTCGTGCAACAACAAAGCAGCTTTGGAGCTAAGCGTCTTCCCGCAGTCTGGGCACATATGCTGCAGATTTCGTTCATGCACCTAAGATGAATTTCTACTTTTAATTTTCTCTCAGAAAAATCCCCCGACTGTGTGACGTTGAGGAAAAAAGAAATAAATAAACAAAAACAGAAAGGGAAAGGTGCGCAGGTTTATAACGCCTCACCTGTCTCTTATGGCGTACGACGTCCTTCTTTCTTTTAAAAGCCTTTGCGCAGGCTTCGCACTCAAAAAGCCTCTCGCTGCTGTGGACGTGCTTTTCGTGGATCTTCAGGTTGCTGCGGTTCGCAAACGTCTGCTGGCAGATTTCACAGCGATAGGCGACATCTGCTTTCACGCCATGGTATGTACTGCCGGGAGGAAGAAAAGCAAGTCAKGCTCTGGGCTGTTTCACTAATTAACTGTGCACATGCATAAACATTAGAGCACCTGTTACTATTTGACTGGTATTCAAGAATTTCCTTGATAATTTTGTTTTTTTTTTTTCAAATGAGTCCCACAGCTTTGGAAAAAATAAACACATTTAAATGTGCAGCTCAACTTGAGCTTCAAACAACTGACTCGTCATTGCACATGTCACAAAACTTTGACTAGAATCACTCAAACCCAGGTGCAGGGTTACCTGATGTGCTTCAAGTAGCTTCTCTCGTAGTGGAAAGTCCTCATGCACTTGTCACATTGGAACTGGGCCTTGGATGTTTTTTTCTGTTTCCTTTTAAACTGTCCTTCCTCCTCATTCCCAGCCTCCAGTAAAAACAAGGGGTCTTGAGGATCGATACTGTGCACCTCCTCCTCACAGTCCCACTCCTCCGGATCAGAGGAAGGTCCCGCCGTTGAGGTCTCGTCCGTTTTGTCCCYCTTGTTCTCCGGCTGAGCTTCGTCTTCAGTCCTGTTCTCACACTCCTCCGTGCCTTCCTCCCCAGCTCGTTTTTTACTGTGAAGGTTCTCGTTGGAAGAACAACACCAGCGTCTCCGGAGCACTTTACAGCCCGCCAGCTTCAATTTTAATTTTTGCCCTCGTGCTCTTGCATTTTTCTTTATGTTTTTCACCTTCAGCCTTTTTCTAATGACTTCTTCCGTCTCGGAGCTCTTAGAMGAGCGCTGCCGCTTCAGATGGGAGCTTTTAGGTCGTTTCATTCCTTTGGTCTTTCTCCCCTTTTCAGTGCCACCTGACGCATCTTGAGGTTTGACCTCTGAGGCGCGTGTTTTCTCTCTGAGATTCTGTAGAACTCCACACCTCACGGCTTCACCACAAACCTTCGACAGACTCTCGCAGTCCAAAAACCGGGCCACTGCTTGGACAGCAGCGATCTTATCCTCAGCGACGTTGACCTTACCAGTGTACACAAACTCCAAAAACTTGGAGAAATCACCGGACTGCATGTTCGAGAGTAACAGTCTCTCTTTGGCTGCATCCTGGGATAAAAGGATGTTCTTGAAGTAGCCGCTGGAGGCAGCGAGAATCACCTGGTGGGCCTGAAACTCCTGAACACTTCCCTGGTGGTCCACCTGCACTGTAACGTCACACAGCTGTCCTTGGACCCTCAGCTGATGCAGAGAAGTCAGAATGTTTTTAAGATGCGAGTCTGATGTGAGCCGGTGCTCTTGGACCCCCATTGTTCCCCCGTACCGCTGAGGGGGGAAAAAAAGGAGGTGATAATAATATGCTTTCATCCAAATTAGCTACRTGACGACTAAATCTGTCAATGCATCCATTAATTACAACACAGCTTCAGTTTGTAGTCGTTTGCACAATTTTCAAGTCCTGCTACTGAAAATTTGATGCTAATGTCCTAAAAGAGTATTTATTTATAGCAATACTAAAGAAAACTTGACAAGTTGCTCAACATTCCTCATTTTAATGCAGTGATAACTGAATGCTTTTTCATGTAAAGGCTACAATATTATGACTTTTTTCTCGTAATGTTATGACTGTAATCTCATAATATTATGACTTTGAACTCGTAATATTACAACTTTGATCTCGTAATATTACGACTTTATTCTCATAATATTATGACTATTTTATTCAACTTTAATGTCGTAGTATTATGACTTTAATCTCGTAATATTAATATTACAACTTTAAACTCATAATATTACGACTTTATTCTCATAATATTATGACTATTTTGTAGGACTTTAATGTCGTAATATTATGACTTTATTCTCGTAATTTTAAAGAAAATCTCGAGGTGTGRCCCTAATACTCTGTCGTAAAAACACTTCTATGTCAGGTGAAATTAATGATGTGTATTTTTCTAAATGTTGTGATATTGTGTATGATTGATAGCTTACTGTTTCAATGTTGCAGTTCAATTTGTAGCTCTTCTAGCTCATTAAAGTCAAAATTGTGCAAACTGTAGGTAACAAGTTTCTTTCTAGTTTGTGCAAAAGACTTGAGCCWAGTTTTTGTACACGCTGCTACAAAGGACACGTTTTCTTGTGATCTTTAAAAAGTAGTTTTTTCAGCAGTATTTGTTCAAAAGGACTTTCTTTTTTTTCTTTGAATGTTTGCAATCTACTACCTAGTAATCAACTGTATTTACAGGAATGTGTTTTTTTAACACTAACTCTGACCTATGATTTTTTTAAAGCATATGTGCCTAAAACTACAAAACAAATTAAAGACGCAAAAGTTCAAAGACAAACTATGAAAGACCTGCAGAAAACCTGGAGACCATTTTGAAGGATTTAAATGTTTTCTGCAGTTTTCCTCTGTGAAATGGGATGCGCTGCTTTGCGCAAGACTCGAGAATGCCCCTGCTAAATATTTTTATGGAAAAGTTTTAAACCTTTCTACGTGCACAGTTGTATAAGTTTTACTGTATGCATGTATGATAGCGACCATCTAAGCAGCTACCGTCGCTGAATGCTAACACTAGCAGCATCAAAGAGAAAGGCTAAAATTAGCCGCCGATAAAAGAATAAATAAAAAAGCACGTCATATAAAAAGCATGTAACAAAGGCAGACCCCGGCACATTGGACACAGTGGATAAATGACAGTGTGGGAGAGAGCGAACTACTCAACACCGGGCAAGTTTTCTTACCGTAAGCTCGCTAAAATGGCAGCCCCACACAAACGGAGCGAGCAGGGTGGAAAACAACTTCCTGCTGGAGCRGCGCAGGGCTCGGCCTCTTCACAGCGGTGACATCCGGTGACGCGGATGTTGATTTTATTTCATAAATCATAAACAATTTGTGTTYATAGCTAGGTCTTGCTTTATCGTGGGATTTCACTTTTCAATTTCACACGCAAAAGGAGATTTGGGATCGTTTGAAAACCTGATGGCCTAAATTATAATGTTGAGCTACGAACGTGCGCAAAATAAGTAACTTATTGGCTCATTTTTGTTTGCTTTTGCCTTACAGACAAACTTATTCACTATAATAACCAGCTCTGTAGCATTTCTTATTGCGTGATATTTCATTTTGTGGGAATTAAATCTGATTTTATTTAGTTAGTTTTGACCCTCCTGATTTAAATGGAACTTCCCAGAAAACACTTCTGATAAGGATGAAAAACCGATTTATATAAAAAAAATTACATATTTTCCTGACTATAAGTCACTTTTTTCACAGTTTGTCTGGTTCTGTGAGTTTTACTGTGGAGCGGCTTATCACAGACAGAACGATGGATCAGTGATTAGCACTGATGCCTCACAGTAAGAAAGTCCAGGGTTTGATCCCTGGTTTGGACCTGGGGTCTTTCTGTGCAGAGTTTGCATGTTCTTGCTTGTGTAGGTTTTCTCTGGATAATCCGATTTCCACGCCTCATGACCACAGGTGAGGGTTGGAACTTGGGCAGACCAGCCAGAGATTTGCCTTTCGACTATGCGCTGTCTTCACCACGACCAACCGAAACAACGCCCTCATTACTGAGGACGAGGCCCCAATACGTCAATCCATCTCCCGCTCCATCCTACCATCACTCAGGAACAAGACACCCAGGTATTTAAACTCCTCCACTTGAGGCAGAGACTCTGAAGTGTCTGAATGGAGTCATATTGTAATGAATTAAAATTTGCTTGTCGCCACTTTTATGGACATAAAAGTGGCGACAAGCAAATTTTAACAAATTACAGGCCAATATCATTGCTACCGCAATTTTCAAAAGTTTTGGAAAAATTGTTCATAAAAAATTGATAAATAAAATATAAAAATAATATATTATATTTTTAATATAAAAATAATATATAATATAATAAAAATAATATATTGAATGAGCACCAGTATGGCTTCAGGAACAACTGCTCTACAACTTTAGCTGTGATGGAGTCTGTGGAGCTCATTACTGCAGCAGTTGACCAGAAACTAAATACAGTAGGTGTGTTTATTGACCTATGTAAGGCATTTGATACTATTGACCATGCACGATTATTAGGTAAATGTGAACTGTATGGCCTACGAGGGGTTACATATCACTGGTTAAAGAGTTATCTGAGTAATAGACTACAATATGTACAAATTAACAACACAAAGTCACAGACCGAAATGGTTAAATGTGGTCTTCCTCAAGGCTTAGTTCTAGGACCTAAATTATTTATACTTTACTTAAATGATATTTTTCAGTATCCAATCTTTTAAAGTTTGTAATGTTTGCTGACGATACAAATTTATTTTTCTGTGGAAAAAATATGGATGAAATAATAAAAACAGTACAAAAAGAGCTAGCTGAGTTGAAAACATGGTTTGACTATAACAAGTTGTCATTAAATGAAGGAAAAACTAAATTTATGGTATTCTCCGGTAATCAGATCCATAATAATGTAAAGCTATGTATAAATGGAGTTGAAATTGAAAGAGTTTACGAGACAAAATTTTTAGGAATTGTTATAGACAATAAACTCAGCTGGAAGCCTCATATAGAATATATTAGAAAAAAAGTTGCAAAAACTATTGGAATATTGTTTAAAATTAAAGTTTAATAAAAATTAAGGGTTTGCATATTATATATTCCTCCTTGGTTTTGCCTTATTTGTCATACTGCTCAGAAATCTGGGGAAATGCAAGTAAAACAAACATTGATGTATTAGTTAAGTTGCAGAAAAAAAGCTATAAGGCTTAGTAATAAAGTGGGATATCGTGAACCCACTGATAAACTCTTCCTTGGAAGTAATATATTAAAATTTAAAGATATTGTTTATATAAAGATACTGGAAATAATGTATAAAGCATTAAACAAAAGTCTTCCTTCTGGTATTCAGAAATTATTTACGTTAAGAGAGAATAAACATAATCTGCGAGGTTTGTTTGTATTTGAATGTGCAAAAGAGAAGAGCCAGGTAAAGTCAAGATGTGTTTCAGTTGTTGGTATGAAACTGTGRAATGAACTGAATGATGATCTTAAGTTATGTGCTTTTTGGTGAGCTTTAAAAGAACTCTGAAATGTAAAATGATAACATCTTACGCTGTTATGTAGATTTATTTATGTATTGTGAAGATATCTTGGTTGGTTGTTGAGTATAGGCAAGAATAAGCTTGGCTTCGGCCTATCCGTTTATGTGTAAATTATGAGTTTGTTTATTGTTTCTGTTTTGTTTGTTGTTGTTGTTTAAGGTTTAATATGAAAAATTTACAAAAAATAAAGTGATTGATTGATTGATTGATTGATTGAATTGTGTCCATGCTCTGTTGTCCATGTTATGTCTCCTGCCTCGCCCCTGAATGGTACTGTCACGGACTCTGACCTCTTGGTTTTGACCCTTGCTCTCATTTCTGGACCTCTGCTTCCTGTCTCACTCCCTATCAGACCTGCTCAGCCATCTGATCCCCAGACTTCGACCTYTGCCTGTGAACCCCGATCACGAGCTAAGTCTGCTCCCCTTAACCTGTAATTAATAAATTATGTATTTTAAAACATAATTTAAAATTTACTATTTTTAAAAATAGATATATTTTGTTTTTCTTTATTTGTGTTTCTTAAATGATTATATTTAATTATTTTATTTATTTTTTCCCACAGTCTTTTTATTTTCATGTGTTGCTTTTACAATTCTTAGTCTCCTATTTTTACTTTACCTTATGCATTTCTGCTTCATTATGTAATTAAGGTGGGCAGTCCTTATTGGGTCAGCTCCTCTCCTGTTGGTCAACAGACAGGAAGGAGCAGAATCCACGTGCAGATCTACTGTGCATGATTGTGCCTCAATTTACCTTAAAGTTTAGTTTAAACCTAAAGCAAGGAGGAAAACACTTTGCTGTGCCATTGTTTTAAACTAAACTTTAAACTTTAAGGTAAACTGAGGCACAAGCATGTGCAGTAGATCTGCACATACTGTATATCCTGCTCCTTCCTGTCGACCAATAGGTGAAGAACTGACCCGCCCACCTTATTTACATAATGAGGCCAAAATTCATAACAAAAATTAAATACAGGAGACAAAAAAAATGTAAAAATTAATGTGAAAACAAAAAGACTTGTGGTAAAAACTTATAGAAATGATGAACACTGAAAAACAAAGTAAATTATGTGTTGAAATTTATTATTTCTTGGAAAAAAGCTGGCAAAATAAATGATTATTAATTAAATTATTTAAAAAAAATCAGGTGAAGTGATTTTTTATTGGTGCATTTTAAGATTATTCATTAGTCATTTTAAATATTCCTGCTTTTATTAATGGGGTAACATTATGAAAATTAACTTTTTTGAGCTTTATATCATGTTATCTTCTCATCAAAAACATGACCAGAGTCTTGCTTTGACTCATCCATGCATATTTGAGAAATCCTGTGCTAGGCAGCCAGGCAGGAGAGCAAAAGTGTGCAGTTGGGCCTAAAACCACATTTTGGGACCAGCTTCTCCTCTGGACTGTCTCCAAACCGAGCTTCCTCTTTACAGAAAACGCCTCCCCCACCCCGGTTCACTCGTGACTCCTGCAGGCTAACAGCAGCAACAAAGCAAACACTCGGTGAAACCACATCTGCTGAGCTCCTAATACTACCGTACTTCTCAGTCCAGTCTTTTTAGGATTAAAAATACCTTTGAGGAAATGGATTTTCAGATGCCAATGGAACTACACCGAGTTGCTGCTTCACAGCCAATTTCAAGGCATTCAGAAATTGATATTTGATTGGATTTATTCCAGACATTCCAAATTATTATTTTTATTATTATAAAGTTTATTCATTTCAAACAAAACATGAATTCAACATACAAAAAMGTATCTAATTAAATGAAAGGTAGCAGAAGAAGAAAAGAATCTTATTTCTGCCCTTTTCTTAAATTCAATCAAAAAAATCGTGTATTTACAACGTACAAAAAAAGGAAAGAAAAAAACAATAAAGGTTTAATTCCTTCATGAGTAACAATTCATGCCTTATACTCGTACATATTTCTCCAACAGATTTATCTTTATCATTTTCTTAAATATACACAGTGATCTTGCTTTTTTAACGTTAATCTCAAGATTATTCCATAATTTAATTCTCTGGACTGAGGTACTCCATTCCTTCAAACTGATTCTAATTTTAGGTTTGACAATCATTTCAATCCCCTTCAAACTGTAACAACTCACTCTTTTAACAAAATGTAAGATGTTAATGTATTTTTATGGGCCCTATACATAACTGACAAAACACATTCATTACATAAAGCATAGTCTGAATCTACATATCTCAATATACCCTTTCACATATCTACAAAAAAATGAAACCACTTAACTAATTATACACAAATAAATCCATAAAATAAATATACACCTGATGTGCACACTCCTATCTGTGTACACCTACCCAAGTACATACATTCACATGAAGCATATAAATCCCATTAACATGTCTGAAAAGGGGTAGGAAGAADTAAAACTTATTTAATCCTACCCCTATTCACCACTTAATCTGGTTTTCAGTCTTATCAGTTTGTGATGAAAACAAACAAAAATATACACAAACAAAGGAGATTCAACCACCACTCCAATACAACAATTAATCCACATACATACCCCCATACAGATTACACAGTCATACTCATATATACAATCCCATATACAGCATTGAGACACATGTTTTAAGTTTACTTCAGATTATCATTCCTATAATTGTCAAGGATCATTAGTCTGAGCCTTTTCTTAAACAAACGTTTGTTT